AAATTTTATAATTTCGCCCCTGCGTGTTATTTCAAGAATTTACAGTACTTGAACTTATTACAGAAAGCCTGATTCATAATTTGATTTTAAAAAAAAAGTCAATAACTTGCTTTATGTTATGCTGTTCTTTAGTTTTTATAATAGCATACTTACTTTATACCTATTATAAAAACTTGAATGCATTCAAATACCAAAAAAAAAGTAAGTAATTTGATATTAATATTTTAATATTTATAGTTTTTTAGTTTTTTTAATTTTGTATTTTAATTTCAGAGTGTGTGAATCTGTAAAGTGTTAAAAAAAAAAAGGTTAGCAGCTTATCTTTGATTTTTGTTCTGAATGTGTCGAGAAGATACCACAAGGTTGTATTTTTAGTTGTTATAAAGAATGAAGATAAATTTGACTATATCCTAAACCTAACATGCTAACCCTAACCCTAACGTGCTAATCCTACCCTAACCATTAAGCACGTGCCAACCTAATCATTGGGCATGTGCTAATCTGTAATACATAATTTGTTTATTTTTGTACATGTTAATCATAATATAAATAGTTATATTTTTTATCAATTTTTCTATTTAAACTTCAATTATGCCGGCAATTCCAAAACTTTCTAGAACTCCAACTGAATATAAAGATATTGTTGAATATCTCCAATCAAAAAAATATCTGAAACTATTCATGACCTAGCGGTGAAATGTAAATTTGAACAGCATTATAACAAATTCGAGTTAGATGAAAATGAGATTTTATATTTTTCAGCTGTTTTTAAAAATGGCAAAATATTATCTAATAAATGTCATGTAGTACCAAAATATGATGTAGAGCTGTGTGACTTATTGTTAAAAAAGTTTCATGACCAATCTAATCATTAAAGTTATCATAAAACATTTTCTGTTCTTTTGGAAAAACACATTAGTATTATGCAAACCGAGATTTAAGCTTATATTAATAAATGTTCAATTTGCACCATTAACTCTTCTATTAAAGAGAAACTGTTATAAAATCAGTTATTTCTGTAGCACCATAGCGACACATCCAAATTGACTTAATTGACTTGCATGATTTTACAAATATTAATTATGGGTTTGTGTGATTACTTACCTGTGTTTATAGATTTTTAAAATATCTTATTGCGATTCCTATGAAAACCAAAAAAGCAGACATGGTTGCTGCGCATCTAATTAAAGATGTTTTTAGAATTCTTGGCCCACCAGTAATTCTCCAAAGCGATAATGATAAAGAGTTTGAAAGGATCGTAAAGCAAGTTTGTGAAGCTCTTAATATAAAAATTAAACATAGGTGCTCCAAACACCCCAGTCACAAGAATAAGTGGAAAGACTTAATTAAACTATTGGTCGTAGTTTTACAAAATTGCTGTAGGATAAGAATAATTAACTTCAAAAAATAATTGGGTCGACATATTAGATACTTTTGTAATGTGTTATAATTCAACTGTGTATATGGCTCATAGATGTATGCCTCATGAAATTATGTTCAGCTGGAAGATACACTGCATATATGAAACACCTAATACTAATCAAGGTGATAAAATTGATGAAATTGATGTAGATAGTTTAGAAGCAGATGAAATAGATAAAATGGATGAAACAGATGAAGTGGATGAAGCAGATGAAATGAATGAAGCGAATGAAGTAGATGAAGCAGATGAAGTAGATAAAGTGGATAAAGCAAATGAAGCAAAAGAAGCAGATGAAACAAACGAAGCAAATGAAAATGATCCTAAAATAGTTGTAAATCAACACATACTATGAGTATTATAAGTTCAAGAGGTTAGATTTAGAGCTAGCTAGTATAAAGTTAAATAGTATAAATTAATTTTTTTTTTTTAGTCTGTAAATTTTATACTAGAGAAATATTACAAAAAGCTTTGCCAACAAAGAAGCATTTACAGAAAAAAAACAGCAAATAATGAATCAGGCTTTCTGTAATAAGTTCAAGTACTGTAAATTCTTGAAATAACACGCAGGGGCGAAATTATAAAATTT